TTGTTTGTGATTAGCTGCAGGAGACCCAGTGTTGTTGTATGCAGTTAAAGTATCTGCAGGTGAGAATGCCCCTTGGAAGCAATGGGAGGCTGATGACTTTTGTGTAGGAACATCCCTGGACATGTCTGCATCATCTGCAGATAATGGCTGCATGAGTGATTACATGTAATTGACCACTAATAGATTTGATCGATTACAGCCTCCCATTGTTGTCAATGAGTATCCCATCCCCCCCTGATAATCACAAGGAACCCTGCTGGGTCTCCCATAGCTAATCACAAATGGCCCACTTGCAAGTGTGAATGGGGTCTTAAATCTAAGTGGGTTATATTCATGAGTGCTCACAAACAGTTTAGAGCATCCTTTCTCTACCATATTTCCCTTCACTCAGTGGTTGAAACCATAAACTGACATGAGACTGACAACTAACATAAGGTAGATTTTTTTCACTAACTATTATTGTAAGGTGGCATTTTTTTCACCAAATACAAATGTAATGAGGCACTAAATTTTCACGTTCTCTTTTTGGGTTTCTTTTCTGGTGTTTACTATTTGTTTCATTTCAAAAGTATTACTGAGAGCAATTTTGGTTTGTAGAGCAGAGGGATGTTAAAAAAGGTCCATCCTCGGTGTTGAAAATGCTAAGAATGTCACATTCTTTATTGTTTCATTTATTAATACAGCAGCAACTTACTGAGATGTACAAATATTTGCTTTTATTAGGGATTCCCTTAGATCTAAAACTTAATTCAAGGGATCTTCCACATTACAAAGATTGTGTAAGGCTGGACAAGTTCTTCTACCAACAATGGCAAAACAGTAGAACATTACTGCCAACCACTGCAGCATATTGCAAATGGTGAACCATTCTTTCATCCACCAGACTATAAATGCACAAAATAAAAACCAAAATCAGTATGTACATCAAATTATAAAGTTTATTGCAATGAAGGACACTAGAGTGCAAGCTGGGCCATTGATCACAATTTACAAATCTGAAATGTAATGTTTTGCTTCTCATTCTACAGATTTTTATATTAGTTTATCTTCAGTGCTGTTAGTGAAGTTCTCAATGCCTTAGACACACCATTATGTGGAAAATTGAAAAAATGATGAATGTTTGACCATCAGTATATTGCAGCACATCCCCAATGTAATTATACAAACGAGAGTGAGTTATGGGATTTTGTAGGTGCGTGGTCCTTTATATGCCTTCTGTGATCACACAGACGTCTGGGCCTTTGATTCAGCAATTGTTTGCCCTTGTTTTATTGAATGATGTTGGCAGTATAGTCCTAAGGGTAAGCGGGGGGCTCATAATTTCTGGACAATTAATCTTTTTGGAATACTTAAATTGTTCTAGTCTGATGTATATGGTATAATTACTGTATGTCTGATTGATCAATATTTTTGATACAACTGTAGACTGTATTGCAGATAGCCTGTCTCTGCGAAACATGTAGGGAAGATCTGTGCACTGCAGGAAACAGTCAAGCATGTTGTGTTTGTCAAGTCCATTGTAACCACTTGTATCTAATGTAACTCTATTGTAATAAATTGGTAAAAAACTTTTTTACAAAAACTTGTTGGATTATTGTCACGCACCTTCAAAATCCCACAAATCACTCTCTTTTGTATAATTATATTGGGGATGTAATGCAATATACTGATGATCAACCATTCATCTTTTTTTAATTTTCTAGATAAATAGGCGTTATATCACACCAGATTTCTATATGATGACTGTTTGACTATATTTAATTATTGTTAATTTTGCTATTTTTGATATTATTATTTGATATAACCATCTGTACGTCCTAAACAAGCACAATCACGTTCTCACAACCCTTATTCTTCTTATCAAAAAATGTCATCAGGTAATTCTACCTCTCACTTGGGTAATGTATGTACCTCTTCTAATTTATCGTTGCTTCCCTCGTCTTCCCTATCCACACTTATGCCATCCAGAGTGAGTGATCTGAACTTGGTACCAAATCCAAACTCTGCACTAGTTGACACTAAAGTTGCACCTATTTTTTTTTAGCAACCAACACTCCCGATTCAAGCAAAAAAATATCATGGAAAATCCCTGTGTCGGTTCAAATGGAGGAAACTCAGGTACTACAACAGGGCTTAACCTTTTGTCCAGACTCTAATGTAGATCGTTTTGAAATCATAAAAGATATACATTTATTTGCTAGACGTTTAACGTTCAAGGTTCTCTATGATAAACCCAATGATAGAAACCGATCTCAGCCCAGTGGAAATTCTGCATTTACTAATCTTACATTTAATGATTTGCGAGCAATGCAAGATCTTATGGAATTGTGGGAAGAGGGTCAAGTGGACCTTGATGGTACACAGAGGGATGATGCGTCCCCCTGTGACCCCTTGTTCCCCCCTCCCCATAGATAAAAAACAAAATCAGGAACATTCCCAGTGTTAAGTAACAATCCCAATATTTGGGCCTTCATACAACAAACCACGAAGGATCTTCAGAAGGTTGTATGGAAAAATACCAAAACAGACAATTTGTCATTATCCCACATAAAGGCATTTACCTCTTTACAGATGAACACAAATATAGTCATTAAACCAGCGGGCAAAGGGGAAAACTTGGTAATTCAAGATCTCCCACAATACGAACAGATGTGTATACAAATTGTAAACAACAAAGTGTGGTATAGACCAATCTTCAAGAAAGTTATTGACAATTATATCAGGGAATTTAGGAATTTGATTTTGAGAGCTTATCAGAATGACATTATATAAAGGGCTGGACGGTGGCAGTGCAGGGTCGGGTGGCTGTTTATAAACGGCCTCCCCGCCCCCTGCTTGTGCATGCACCCTGGGAGCTCGCAGCACCGCGATCCAGTGCCTGCTGTGTCCTCCGGACACAGTGGAATGCCGATCGTCATACGGGACCTCTGTGCGAGGTCAGGATCATGTGATCACTGATTGGTCAATCAGTGATAACATGCAGAGTAGTAAAGCAAGATGTCACTTCTGACATCATTGCTTACTACGTGTGAAATCTGTGAATGATCACAGAGGTCACATGGTACAAGGCTATTCACAACAGCCTTGTACCATGTGACAAGCTATGACCACTCACAGCTCACACAGTAGTTCTCAATGGCTGCAAGGATGCAGCCAGAGCGAAGGAGAAATGATTGCTTTTACAGCCTTTATGGGTGTAAAAGCAATCAGTGTAAAAAAAAAAAAAAAAAATTCATCACCCTCCCACAAGTAGTACAGTGTCACCATGGTGACACTATACTGCTAGGGTGACAGTATGTAAAAAAACAAACCATAAATAATAATATAAAAAAAAAAAAATGTAAAAAAAAGTTTAAAAATTATAATTTTTGGTTATAAACTAATTTGGGTTATTTTTTTTTACTAAAAAGATAACGGAATACATTTTGGCCAAGCTTTATGATGAAATACACTTTTTTTCAAAGTTTTTGGACATTTTCATTTACATAGCAAAAAAAAAAAAAATTCAAGTGGTGAATAAATACCATCAAAATAAAGCTTTATCTGTCTCAAACAAAATGCTAAAAAATTCATATGGGTTCAGTGTTGCATGACTGCGCAATTGTCATTCAAAGTGTGATAGCACTGAAAGCTGAAAATTCACCTGGACAGGAAGGGGGTTAAAGTGTCCGGACTTGAAGTGGTTAACAAAGAAAACCCCTTCGCATTTCATGCTGTCAGCAATGGCACCACATGGAAGACAAATGTTACAAGGCCTGAGAAAGAAAATAATTTCTTTACACAAGAAAGGTGAAGGCTACAAGAAGATCAGCAAAGCTTTCTTATCAGTCATAATACTGTAGCAAAAGTGATACAAACAGTTAACAAAAATGGAACTGCAACCATCAAACAGAGACATCCAGGCCTTCCATGGAAGTTAACACCTCGACAGGAGCATCTTCTGATGAGAAGGGTTGAAGAAAATCGCCATGCAAGTTCACTGCAGTTAGCTAAAGAAGTAGAAAGCCAAACTGGGGTGACACAATACGACGTACACTGCAGAGAAATGTCATGCATGTGTGTCGTCCACAAAGGAATCCTCTCCTAAAGCCTATGCACAAAAATGCCCACCTAGAGTTTGTCAGGGCGCATGCTGAAAAAAGAAGAAGACTACTGGGACTCTGTACTCTGGAGGGATGAGACCAAGATAAATGTTTTTGGAACTGATGGCTCCAAAACTGTATGGTGTTGAAAAGGTGAGGAGTACAAATAAAAATGCATGGTGCCTACAGTGAAATATGGTAATGACAGTATCCTTCTGTGGGGCTGTATGAGTGCTGTTGGTGTCGGGGAGCTGCATTACACTCTGTGCCTTTGGTCATCGTGCACTTTTCCAACATGACAATGATCCAAAACACACATCTAAGGCCACTGTTGCATTTCCGAAGAAGAACAGGGTGAAAGTGGTTCAGTGGCCAAGTACTGTATGTCTCCTGATCTGAACCCAATCGAACACCTATGTGGAATTCTGAAGAGACAAGTTCAGCATCATTCTCCATCCAGTATCCAGGCACTAAAAGAGGTTGTTCTTGAAGAATGGAATAAGATAGAGGTTGCAGTATGTTGCCAACTTGTTCATTCTATACCTAGAAGACTTGGTGCTGTGCTTACAAATCATGGAGGTCATACAAAATACTAGATTGTAGTAGTGTTTGTTGAGGGGTGTATTCATTTTCGCATCAACTAATTTGAGTAAAACCAACCTCATGTAACGAGCTAAACAAATGTTCTATAAACTCAGTTTTGTCCAAAATTTTGGAAAATGTTCTTGTGTTCAAAAAGATATTGATTCAAATCTTACTTTTCAAAAGAGGTGTGTATGTATATAATCTATATTGCCAAAAGTATTAGGACACCCCTCCAAATCATTGGATTCAGGTGTTCCAATCACCTCCATGGCCACAGGTGTATAAAATCAACACCTAGGCATGCAGACTGTTTCTACAAACATTTGTGAAAGAATGGGTCGCTCTCAGGAACACAGTGAATGCAAGCGTGGTACTGTGATAGGTTGCCACTTGTGCAATAAGTCCACCCATGAAATGTACTTGCTACTAAATATTCCACGGTCAACTGTTAGTGGTATTATAACAAAGTGGAAGCAGCTGGGAACAATAGAAACTCAGCCATGAAGTGGTAAGCCATGTAAAATGACAGTCATTTGCTAAAGACCTCCAAACTTCATGTGACCTTCAGATTAGCACAACAACAGTGTGTAGAGAGCTTCATGGAATGGCCGAGCAGCTGCATCCAAGTCTTGCATCACCAAGTGCAAAGTCGGATGCAGTGGTGTAAAGCACACCACCACTGAACTCTAGAGCATTGGAGATGTGTTCTCTGGAGTGACAAATCATGCTTCTCTGTCTGGAAATTGTCAAGGTCCTACCTTTCCTCAGACCTTGTGCTGCTCCATGTGCTGGCATCCATCTTACGTGTCTGCAAAGCATTGTGAGATCCTTTATGCTTTCAGCCCTCTGCGGCTCCTCCCCCAGGAGGTGGCGGCTTATCACATATAAGTCTGCTGTTTGTAGCTGTCCATTGCATTCATGTCCTGTCTGTTGCACAACTGCAAGCTCCTGTTTAGCTACTCATTGCTTTCCTGGATACCGACTCAGCTTTGGCTAAGACTCCTCCTGGCTTCTGACCCCGGCTCTGGTGACCATTCTTCCTGGCTCCTGATCCTGGCTCTGGCGACCATTCTTCCTGGCTCCTGATCCCGGCTCTGGCGACCATTCTTCCTGGCTCTTGACCCTAGCTTTGGCTACGATTTCCGTTGTTGAACTTGCATAGACTCTTGTCTTATTTTTATATTTATAAACCTACCTTTAATTTCACCTCCTTGTGTGTCTGGCTCCTCGCTCCCTGACAGAAATTTGATGGATGTGTCTGGGTTTGGAGGTTTTCAGGAGAACTTTACTTGCCTGACTGCATTGTGCCAAGTGTAATGTTTGGTGAAGGGGGATTAAGGTGCGAGGTTGCTTTTTATGGGTTTGGCTTGGGCTCAGGTTCCAGGGAACTCTTAAGGAGTCAGCATACCAAGACATTTTGGGACAATTTCATTCTCCCAACTTTGTGGGAACAATTTGGAGATGACCCCTTCCAGTTTCAACTTGACTGCGCACCAGTGCACAAAGAAAGGTCCATAAAGACATGGATGAGCAAGTTTGGGGTGGAGGAACTTGACTGGCTTGCACAGAGTCCTGACCTCAACCCGATAGAACACTGTTGGAATGAATTAGAGCAGAGACTGAGAGCCAGGCCTTCTCGTTCAACATCAGTGCCTGACCTCACAAATGCACTTCTGGAAGAATGTTCAAACATTCCCATAGACACACTCCTAAACCTTGTGGACAGCCACCCCAGAAGAGCTGAAGCTGTTATAGCTGCAAAGGGTGGGCCAACTGAATATTGAACCCTACGAACTAAGACTGGGATGCCATTAAAGTTCATGTGAGTGTAAAGGCAGGCATTTCTGTTAGATAATGTACCACTTTGCCCAGAAAACTGTTTCAATTACAAATGTTTAGGCATTCTCATGTTATTTTCTTTCATTTGTATAGGTATGACACCAAAAAGTGGAGAAACAAAAAGCCAAATCTGACACATTCCATGCCAACCCCCAAAATTGGACTGGACAAAATTACTGGCACTTTCTCAAAATTGTAAGAAATAATTGCATTCCAAGTTTGTGATGCTCCTGTAATTTGTAATTCAACTCACCTGTATCAATTAACAGGTGCTGACAATATAGAAATCACACCAACAACCAGTTAAAATGTCAAAAAATGTACTCCCCCTTTCTGCTGTGTGTCTCAGTGTGCCACACAAGAGAACATGGGGAAGAGAAAGAGCAGTAAAGAGTTGTCTGAGGATCTGAGAACAAAAATTGTGGAAAAGCATAGACGATCTCAAGGTTTCAAGTCCATCTCCAGAGATCTTAATGTTACTGTATCCACTTTGCACACCATTGTCGAAAACTTTACAGCTAAACACCCTACACATGGTCTAAAGTGAACATTGATCAAAGATTGCAATGAAGGATTGTTCAAATGGTGGCTAAAGAACCTCATTCAACTTCCAGACAAATTCAAGCTGACCTTCAGGCACAGGGTACAACTATAGGTCACCATCTTCTGAAGTCCGGCAATGAATAAACAGGAAGCTTTTTACAATGAAGGCTAACAAAGCCAAATCTTCTACTTATTCTTAATCACATCAGGAGGAAACATCATTCCAATGTGAGGTTTGCTCAGTCCTTCCCCGTGGGAACAAAATTGAAACACTTCAGGACTTTGGGCAGACAATATGTAGGATCAAGAGGTTATACTCTGGAATTCAGGAACGTGCCCCTGAAAGATTAATGTATCACAACAAAGCTACCAATGTCCAGAGACAAGTAGGACTGTCTCATGGAATACTTAGACTTCCTGGTGGCCTCCAGAGCAGATGTTCCAGTGTCAGATTGAGAGAAATGACTGGATTCTACTCATCTTTGTTCCTAGTCTAGGCAAGTTTTTAACCATAAAGGATCTCAACATTTTATAAGTCCTTCAAAATGGAAAATCATCAAAGTAATTTGTCCAGAACCTTGACTTCTTTCATAAACCTTCAATACTTTTACCTGCATTAGCCCAATTTCCCTCTGCATTATATGTAACTTCTGTATTTGATAGCACCAACTCTGCTGTTTTTCCCTGGCATTGCTACTGCACCAATGGCATTTTCAAACCTTTTCCTAGCCTTGGCAGTGAACAATCTAGAAGATGAGTGTCCAGGTATATCACTACCAATACGATCCTATGGTATTGGGCCGCTCAAGAGAGGAGGCTTTGGAGAACTGCAGCCAAACATTTCCTGGCCAGGTTTGGATGGCAAATAAATCACAAAAAAGAGTCAACTGCAGGCAATTCAAGATTTTGAATATCTGGCCACGGGATTCAACACAAAATTAGAAGAAGTGTACCATCCACAACAGAAGGTTACTGCAATAAATCAGAAGATCATTTAGATACAGGAAAAACTTTAAAACAGGAAAAATTCAGAAAAAAAAACCCAAACATTTTATGTGAACATTTGTTAAATCAACTAATAATGGATAAAATACCCATATAAAACCATGGGATATCTTTGTGTTTAGGTTGAATATTACAACATTAAGAAACCTCAATTCATTACATCTCCCCCTTTATCACTTTCTAGTTTTCATAGAATACAGACATTATACTATTACTATATTTGTGCATCAAAAGTTGTTCTGATGCTAGTATCACAGTGAGGCAGGGATGGCTGAACTCAACACATTTTGCAGCCTGTTAATACTGTTTTATCAGGAGTTTCATTAAAGGTAAGATCAAATTAATATTGTATGTACAGCAGCTGTATGTCCAACAGGCCCAACACCAATGGTATGGTCAATAACCTCCTCATGGTGGCAGGTACAGGGGCATCCAGGGGGCCATGGGCTCACCCCAAGTTCATCAAAGGATAAAACAACAAAGAAATCAGTGCAAAGAAGTCCAAAAACCCTAGAGTCAGTAACAATGTTGTAAATCAATGTTGCAAGTCCATATAGTAATAGGGCAAGCTTTTGAAGCTGTAGCAGGCTCTGAGTAAACATAAAAAAAGAAGAAAAGCGCCTCTAAGTACAATATGAAAGATGTTTATTTCTTAACAAACACTCACATGATAGACATCATTTCTCCACTCTATTTCATTGATGAGCTTCTCTTATATCTCTAAGTCCACGCTGAGTAACTGCCTGTCTCCTGGAATCTCCCCCATGCTCTTGAGACTGTGCTGGGGGACACAGCAAACCTTCTGGCAATGGCAAGCATTGATGACCCATCCTGGAAGAGTTGGACTGCCTGTGCAACCTCTGTAGGGTCCAGGTATTGCCTCAGGCTACCAGTAGTGACACTGACCCTAGCCAAATGCAAAACTAGTAAAAAACAGTCAGAAAAGATGAGTAGGGGAAAAAATATCAGTGGCCTCCACCTGAAAACCATTCCCGTTTTGGTGATCGTCTCATTGTTGTCCATCTAGAGAAGTGTTATTAATTTCATTAACACCAAAGCAGCTGAAACTGAATAACAACCCCCTCTGCTACTTAACTGACCAGATCAAAATCCCAGGAGTTTAATTGACTTGATGCTATACTCTGATTAAAAAGTGTTCCTTTAATTTTTTTTGAGCAGTGTATTTTCTGATTTTCTTAGACTGAGATGGCTGCTATTTCCACTTTAACGCTTCACCCCCCTAACTGCTTCAATATAAACTAATGTAAAAAGTATTTCAGTTTCATCATTCTTCTCCTTCCTTGGAGGACTGCTCTAACTCCCCTGCCACTGGCATAGCAGCATAGGTGTAGGTTCTGTCCCATTCACCTGTCTTCTTTTAGAGTGAAAGGCTAACTTTTTGCAAGTATTTTGGCTGTCATTTCTTTTATCATTTATATCACTTCTTCTGATTACTTATTTCAGCTGTTTCCTTGAAACATCTCATACATTTCTCATTTTTTTCCCTCAGCATTGCAGGCTCTGCACATGCCAGGAAAACCCATCTTTAGGTCTGGATAATTTTGTATTGCATGGGATGCTTGCAAGAGAGTAGAGTAAATAGGAGAAAATGAACCAAAAGATGAAGTCATAGTGGGTGGTTGAAGCTTCAACAAGCCGGTTGTTTAGATTTTTTGCAGGGATGCAAAGTTCCATGTTTCTTCACATGACAAGGACAGTTTAGAACTGGCACTACAACATAAAAAATGTACATATTGGTTTCATTGTATAACTCTTTTACTTCACTGCTCCCAGGAACTACTCCCACCCAGATTTTCTGGTGGATTCACAATGGTGCTGTGGCATGGACGGACTCACAGCAGAATATTGTAGGATAACCAAAAAAGGCAAGGTTCTAAACAAGGTAGGAGTAGGACAAAAATACCAAAATTCAGACAGATTATGAGATATGGTAAGGCACCTTGAAATATATATATATATATATATATATATATATATATATATATATATCGCTGTGTATATATATATATATATATATATATATATATAGAGAGAGAGAGAGAGAGAGAGAGAGAGAGAGAGAGAGAGAGAGAGATGTAACATATTAAAATTTATTGTATATGTATTTAAAATGCTAAGACCAATTAAGTATGAAAACCAGTAAAACAGCCAGTGAATTCTTGGACTAAAGGAACCAGATTAACCAGAGGAAGTCAATTCAAACATAGGAAGAACATAAATTCTTAACAGCTACTGAAGGAAACCAACGGCAATGCATAGCGTATGGATGACTAACATCTCCCTCCATTATTATGCAGCCTGTATGTTGCTGTTAAACCGTTTAATGAAAACTGTTAGCTTTTGTAGCTATGTGTTTATGAGCAGAAAAAAAGGTGCGTGATCTGCTTAGCATATTCATCTGCTTTATGACTTATTACACATCTACAATAAACCATACAGAAAAGAGACTCAAATTCCCACAAATCCTCCTTCTAGAAACACAGAAACATAAGTTTAGAATTCTGTCAACCTGCCCACAGAAAAAGTTTAAATGTTACATCCATCTCATATTATGTATTTCTCTAGTTGTAAAGAAAAGAAATAAGCAATCTGTCTGGGTCTGTGCAAGATAAACAACATGAAAATGAAGCATCCAGTCCAATCAATTGTTATGCATGAAATATATATCTAGGCCAGTGGTTCTCAACCTGTGGGTCACGACCCCTTTGGGGGTCGAACAACCCTTTCACAGGGGTCGCCTAAGACCATCGGATAAAAACACATATTTCCGATGTGTAAAGAGCAGCTACTGTGTAGAAAGCAGCTGCTGTGCTGAAAGCAGCTACTCTGTTAAAAGCAGCTACTGTGTTGAAAGCAGCAGTATTGGAGGTAAAACGACACTCATGAATTACAATTACTGGATAAATAATTTTATGGTTGGGGGTCACCACAACATGAGGAACTGTATTAAAGGGTCACGGCATTAGGAAGGTTGAGTACCACTGATCTAGGCTAATTATAATAGAGCCCAAAAACAGTTTTAAAAGTTGACCTTAGGATTCTAGTGTGTGCTGCAGAATATACA